CGAAGAAAGTAGACAGCGATGACCCTTGAAAAATCTCTTCTCTTCCCGAGGAAACCTAAAATGTCTCAGAATAGTCGCCCGTATATTTTATTTTTTTTATATCAATACAATAGGTATATATTTGTATATAAAAAATTTTTAAACAAAATTATATATTTTTTTATTCCAGGAATAATATACTATATTTAATTTCGATCGAGTACACAGATCGTCAAATATTTCAGAAATGATCTGTGACGGAATGTGCGCGACAGGGACGTGATAGCGTTCGTATTTCAATTTTTCGCCGAAAAGCTTCGATACTTCACCTCTGTGATGATTAATGACGTCCGATCAGAATTTATATTGATACCTCATGACCGAAAAAAATTGATACCTCACGCTGGAAGTTGTTGTCCTGGCTGTCAGTCAGGAAAGATTAATGCATATGTTGTATATATATATATATAATCGGTTCGGTATAAAAAAATATCTAAAATATATCTCTCCTATTCAATAAATATTCAATATATAAAATATGCAAACGAACGATAAACACCTTCGATATTTGTATCGGGAGCTGCATATCATTACTTCATTGCGTCAAAAGAATAAGAAACATTTTTACGAGTTTTTGCGGCCACTTGTAATCGCGCATGACGAGATTCCAACTAAATGGCGGATCGGGAGGAGGAAATGGGAATCCTTTGTGATTGTGTTGCGTTGAACTTTACGAAAGTATACGGAATATTAAAGCCCGCCTCGCTGATCGCGAAGCCGTGTCTGCCTGTCTGTCCGAAAGCGGGATGAGTCTGAAAAACGGGCGTTTAACGAGCTCGCCGTCGTCGACGCCATTACTATTTGTCCAAGGAGGAATTCTTCGTTCCGTGGCGTTTTCCACGGGAAAACGGAGAGATAAACGACGACGGTTTGTCATTCGGAGGCTGCGCGCCGACGCTCCGAACGAACGATCCGAAGAACGTCAAAGAGACGTCCTAATCCGTCAGACGTCTTCCGCCTCTGTCTTTTGGATACTTTCGCGGATACTTTTCGACCCTGCTTGGCTACGTGATCGCCGAGCGAACGGGTGATTTAGCTTGAAGAACTTGGTGATCTACGACGCGTCACTCGCGACACGCTGCTTTTCTTCTTTCTGTCATAACATCTTTCTTTTAAGGTAGTTCTATCGCTACAATATCAACTAAAAGTTTCGCCTCTAATCGATAAGGAAATTCATCGTTTATTTATACAATGTTACCGTAGCAACAATTTTAGTTGAGTCTGTACAGTCTGAACCTCTTCACATAGAAACAGTTCATGTATGAATACACATCATCATCGCAATTTCTCTCCATGTTCCGTTTGGAAAAAAATTCATTTCTTTAAAAAGTAATATCTTTGAAACTAAACGGTGGAAAAAATTAATTTTTTTTTTAAATAATCCCACACTCATATTGTATAGCCCACTGGTGTTTTATTAAAATCGTAAGATTTGTTCTATTGTTATATATTAAAATGTGATGAAAATGCCATCTTTTCACGTGGTGTATAGAAAAAATGCGATTTTTAATTGTAAATAACTGTTAAACTAAACGGTGAATCGACTTCAAAATGGACTTAAAGGAGCTAACGAGAAATACTGGAAATTGGAGTCTTCTCTGCGATGTCTAAATATTTTTTATTTTTTTTTTATTTCAAACATCGAATATGATTGTATAATATAGTTTGTTTTACCTTGCTAATTTATTTAATTAGAGTTATTATTTCTCTCAGGAACGGAATTATTGAAGTTTAATATATGCTCAAGAGGTTATCAGTCTCTATGGATAAAGATCAATCGGTATAGTCTCTCTGTTATTATAATTGGCGACCATGACGATTATTATACGGTAGAATTATTCCCCGGGATATTAACTCCGCACAAAGTCCGCGTTTCTTTTGTCCCGAAAAATCAGTGCGTTTCATCCCCAAGGACAACGTAATGAGCAATACGACGATGAGCACTTCCTCTCTTGATTACTGTCTGGATCTATACGAAATTTAAAGAAAGAAAGACAAAATAAATAAATAAAAAATATAAAAAAAATTATTATCCAAAAGAAAAAGAGATAATTCCTTATTTTGTACAGGAAGAATGCTAATCATGGAACAACATGGTTTTAGAAGAATTTTATAGAGATTCTCTGATTAATATATAGTAAAATTAATCGAATATATTTTATATTTTTTATACATAGTAGATATCAATATTTTGATTGTGGCAAATATTATATATTAATCACAGAAACTCATAAAATCCTTTCAATACCATATTGTCTCAAGATTACCATGATTTTCAGGCTAAATTCTAAGACCAAATTTTTTCTGTGTAATTTTTTTGGCAATATGATCCAAACACATAATTAAAACCCGCGAATTTCGGAAGAATTTTGTTACAAAATAATTTTGCACACATCGAGCGATGAAAATTTGACGGTACCTTTTATATAGACACAGATTCTATTTGTAGCGATTTTTTTCATGTCGCGATGAAACCAGCCGCGTTTCATCGCATGGTAGCAAGATCGGCTGATTGACTCGGCTCTTCTTCTTCCGTAACGAAAGCCACCGGCGTGTTTCCACACTAATTAACAATCCGTGATTACGGCTCGATCCAGGACCGACCGCATTGCGTCAGTGCTTGGATTGCCTTCGCATCTTCCCTCTGTTCGCATCACTTCTCCCACCCATCCCCTTCGGCGTCTAATTAAATGCTTGACTATCGCCACGTAGGAGGTTACCGTGGGATGGTCCCGGTGCAGTCGGTGACCCGGAAGAGAGTGATGCAACCGAACCCGGAGCGTTATCGACGACGGTATCGGTTTTGTTCGCTGCGAGTTAAAGGGATAATTAACGCGCGCGGATTATAATGACGACCGACTTCTGATTTGGTAAATTTTCCTCGAGGCGATAATGGTCTCGATATGTACACATATGTACACATATATGCCGGCAAGTGTGATAATAGCGACTGATAATGGTCTATGGCGTCCCTTTATCAGGGCTTTCAAATTTTCCTCTCTTCACGCTTCTGCTCTCTCTCTTTCTCTCTCTCTCTTCAGCGATCAATGGCCGTTTATATGGAGATAGATTTCTCCATTAAATATAAATACAAAGGATTATACGTGGAGAAAATTTGGCGATACAAATTTTACGATATATATCAAATTTATTAATATTATAAAGTTGAAATATGACGATATTTGGACATTATTTATTTAATATAAAAATTGGAAATATTATGCATTTATTTTTGTGTATTAAAATATTTGAATAATTATAATATACTCCTATAAAATATAATATTGATTGAGTAAAAATAGTGCGATTTCTCTTATGTATATATTATATATTCCATTATAAAAATTATAAATTATATTTTTACAAACTACATATAAAATTATATTTATATATTCTCTTATATATTAATATATTCCATTATAAAAAATTATAAATTATATTTTTAATTATAATATTTTCGTGTGGAAGAAAAGATTCGCGATCTCTTTCTCGCACTTTGTCGAAAAATTTCTCTCGGTAATTCAACGTAAATATTTGCAGGACTCTGTGCTTCCTGATTTGAAAAATGTATAGCAAATAACGCACACACACACACATATATACATGTATCGGATAAGTTTTCATAACGCAGATAAATGTTACTTTTTTCTCTCGCGTGATTGCGGAGAGATTTTTTTCCCTCCCGGAATAACCGGAGGTACACAAGTATACATTTTTTTTCTCTCCTGATGGCAAAGGGTCTACCGGATGAGTCAAGTAAGGACGATTAATGTGTCGGATAATCGATTTTCCACGATGGATTCATGTACGAGCATCCTGTACACACCAGAAAAAACATGATTCGCCCGACGAACGTAATGAAGTTTGTTAAACTGTTTCGTCCTCGTCAACCCTCGTCGATCTCAAAGCGTATCACCCTGGGATTCTGGGATGCGCGACTTCGATAAACTGACCCAGAATTCGTCGACCGAAGAAAACTTTGTTGGGCGAATGTTTGTACGCAGCGTGTGAACGCGTTTGCTCTCGTAAAGTTTTAATTAATATTTTTCAGACAGAGAATTATCTCTGTATAAGAATATTCTCAGATGTATAAACTTGAAAAAATATGTATAAATGGATTTTAATGAGAGAGAAACAAAAAGTATACCATAAATTTAAGTGCAAACATGTTTCTCGCGTAAACAACCCTTGCGTTAGAGAAAATGCATCTTGCAACGTGAACCAAGCGAGAAGGGCAAACGTAGGACCGCCGTATATATTTGTCATTTTAATTTAGCAACGCGATATTATTTTGCAGCGCGACCCACTTTTTTTTTTTTTTTTTTTTTTTAATTAAAAACTGACTTTTTAACGCCGCTTCGGAAAATAGTTTGCGCCAGCGGCGTAAAATTGTCGGGACGTTTATCGGTTATCGTTTACGAAAGTGGGACGCGTGCAGATACTAGCCGTAACGAGATAGAGGGAACAGTGGGGGATGATATGCCATAGGTGTGCAATAAAGTTCTCTATCGATACACCGATGATTTATATGTCGACCTAAGGAGAAGGGCGATTTTTATAAAAATATAATATTTTTAATTTAAAAATTTTTTACATTCATATGAATTAAAAAATTCTTACATTTTTCCGATAAATCCACACTGAAAGAAAAATTTATTGAATTCGAATAAATATTTATTTCAATACTGCTTTATAAATCATTTGATTTGAAACTAACAATATTGATTTGATGTGAAAAAATATTTATTTGTTTCAAATTTGGCAGTATTGAAATAAATATTTATTAATTTAATAATTTTTTCAGTATACAAAAATCGAAAAAAAATCGAAAGACGAGAGCGCTCGACACGATGATCCTCTTGGCTCGTCTTAGATACAAGGACGAATCACCCCCGGTCGCGTTTTGTTTATATATAGAAGGGCGATAATCTCTATAGAATCGAACGTTATGTTTGTTCCAGAGGTGACGATGTGCAACGATCGATCGAGCTGTTGGACAAGGTGCTCTCAGAGTACGACGAGCACGAGGCGGAGGGCGAAGGTGGCGGAGACAGCGGCGGCGGAGGCGGAAGTGGCGGTGGAGGGGGCGGCGGAAGCGGAAACGGAGGGGGAGGCGTCGGGGATTGCGGCAGCAGCACGGAGCCGAGTATTGGCCTCACGCCCGACGACGAGAGTCCGTCCTTAGGTAACCTTAGGTCCTTTTTCCCGTTTATCGTGTCCCTACAGCTTCTACTTCCTAGCGAGAGAGTCCTCTAAGGACGTCGTTCCCGTATTTGCCAAGAGCGATTAACCGCGCCAGGATTTGCCCTCCTTCCTCTAATGTTTCGTTATTTATTTTCCTTCACGCGCAAAAAGTCTCGGGGTAAAAGCGAAAGAAATAATTGCTGTCCCTTCCGTCAGACTACGACGTGTCAACACTGAAAAAAAGAATTATAAACATTGTTAATTTTTTTGTATTACACGTGCAGGCAAAGTTGCACTTTGTGTGCGTTTTCTGTGCGGAAAGCGGCTGATTTCCCACGTTGCCACGGCTTTAGCCGTGGGCAATGACTTTGAACGCGGCTCAGCCGTAGGCAATGGCTTTGAATGCGGCTTATTCACTCACCGCGTCGCCGCTAGATAGCGGCGTGGGAAATCGGCCGCTTTCCGCACAGAAAACACGCACACAAAGTGCCACTTTGCTTGCACGTGTAATACAAAATAGTATGTGTATCACGTGCGGATTGACAATTGTTCACTCGTGTGGGGTGGTCGCACTCGTGACCAATTGTCAACTTTCCGCACTTGATACACAATATACTATTGTATTATTTATTTTTAGATCTCGTATCTTTTATGTTTCCTAATGCTGTTTAAACTAGGAAGATCGCGAATTGAAAAGTTCCCTCCGAGCGTGAAATCTTTTGCATTTGCGCGTGGACGATGACAAGTGAGCTTTGATCGTCCATGATACTTAGATTTGCATTTTTATCCGTATTCTCGATCGTCCAAAGATGACGTCGTAGGATTTTGAAATTCTGCAAAGTACGTCCCTCGAGAACCCTGCATAGCACTGCTATCATATACGTAAGATTCTAAATCCTGATCCCGATTGTAATAGAGAACGGTTGTAAGTTGTTAATACCATCCTAACACAGATTCATTATTCCATTCCGGGGTGAATCCTCCAAGGAAAAATCGAGATTATACGAAGTAACGTAACTCACGATCTACTACGATTACAGAAATGAACGTTAAATCCGTGTATACACGAGAGTTAGCTTGTAGAAAATACAGAAAAAAAATGCAGTGTTACAAAGATGAAGAAAAGTTGAGGGAAAAAAAACATTATATTAGCGTCGCGCAATTTCCGCGATTCCGCTTATTCCGCTTATTTTGCCTTCTCTGGCAACTTTTCTACGCGGGGCGGAAGCTATCGCAAAATGTCGCATAAATTTTCGAGTTTGTTCTTTCCGCGTGATTTTGCACAACGTGCAGAGCGAACACTTTCGCATCGGGGGAATTGTCCGATGATGTCTGATCGCCGGAAAAATCGATATCACCTCGAGTAGTCCGAGAACGCGCGTTGGCGAACTGACAGACCGTTGACAGGAACCGTCAATTTTTTTTTCCTCGTCGGAAGGAATGTATATAGGTGGATCTATACCTCGTCATTGAACGCGTGAAAAAAACGCAGCGAATGAATCGCAATCGAAAAAATGTTCATGTTCGACGCAAATTGCATTTTTCACGCATTTGCGCACACCAGACCGAAATTTTGCGATCTTTGTTTTTTCCCCTGAAAATCGCCGACTTTTATATAGGTACGTCAATCCGAATTCGCGAATTATACCGTCGAATCTCGCATGGGATAATTACAAGCATTTGTTTACGAATTATCACGTTTCTCGGTAATGAATAATTCAGCATATCGGCGTTATGTAAAATGGGGTATAATAATAACAAGCGAACAATGCATCGCGCGCCCCGAATCGAATCGTAAAATCGTAACTAATTGTTCCATTATCGCGAAATTAAAAAATTAAATCTCGATGGAGAATAAATAAATATCGCGTCGCGTTTTACGTACGAGAGAGTCCGTTCGTTTTTATTGATTGGGAAAACACAGCCTAGCGTTGAGATTCGCGAACACACGATGACGGTTCCGCGACAAATTTTCACCGCGGAAGGAAGCATCCGCTCTCTCCGAACTTGCGGAAGAAGCGACGCCCGCCGCTTTATATCGACAGGGCGAAGATAGTAAATTTCCAGTGACAACCGAGTACGCCTCTTTCTAGAACTTCGCACGCTATTTCCGCCTCTCTAAAGATATCTGGCTCGCATTTGAAGCGCAAAGTTCTATGCCGGTGCGAGTTGTCGCGGAAAGTCGTTCGACAACGCGAGCGAATTCGTTTGTGTGTGTGTGTGTGTGTGTGTTTTGTGCAATTTAACTCGTCACCCTTAACTAAGATATTTAACTTTCTTGCACTCCCGTTGCACGTTCAACTGGGAACAAATTTGCACGGTGGACTCGTGATTCTACCGATTCTACATGTTTAAACAATGCGCAAAGAAATTAATCTAGTTATAAAATTCACGCGTGTCAGCTCGGATTAATTTACGCTCTTTTGTACAGTAGGATGAGTTACGTTTGCATCTCTTCTTACAAATGGTTCAAATAAATTATGGAATTAGACTCCCTTTGTAATGCAGCAACATCCGGCTTGTTCTTATTTAGATAATTTATTAAATTATTTTGTTCATTTATTAATTCCATCCTCAAAGAATTTTGAAGGTTTTGCAGAAAAAATTTTCTCTACTTTATCGATCTCAGCATTAATATTTTTTTTTTATTTCATGGAGCGACCTAAATAAAGTGCAATCTGTTGCACGTATAAATCGATTAATGCGCGATTGTTCCATTTCGATTTAAAAATTCATAACTTCTCAGAAGGGAAGTTCAATAATTATCTACAGCGGAACTTATTTATGAAGCAATCCAATAAATAACTAAGTGTAATAAAATGCATTTTGCGAGAGAAAGATGATGCGTCGGAGGTTCACAGGCAGAGGGATCGTTCGAGTCTGCGTCCATCATTCCCTCTTTCTCTCTCGGCCTTTCGAGAATACATATTTTCGCTTTATTACCATCGGGAAGCGCTCCTGCGGACGTACAACATAAACCCGCCGAGTTGGCGGTCTGCCATTCAATTCGCGGAAAATCGGCGCGAAAGCACGTAACATTTCCCGCTCTCTCGCGGGAAGGATAGATAGAGAGAAGGATGGACAGGCAGGCCTGTCTCGTGCATGGTTCACCGAAAATTCAAATCGACATCCCATTGGCATCCCTCTGCTCTGTACACCTTCGCGAGTGATCGCGGTTGATTAACAAGGAAAAATCCTTCTCGGGAAAAATCCACATCGCCTTTCGTCTTAGCGTTCCGACACTCCACCTGATGGGTTCTAGCCGAAAAAGTGTCCAAGAGGTTTCAAGTATTTTTTTTTTTTAATGATCTTTATGTCATTATCACCCACATCGTCCGACTCATGGAGTTGAGTGATTTTTTCACTCTTCCTATAGTGGATAAAATGATAATTTGAAAGGTTCAGTTTTGAGAATGCGAGGAATCTGAAAGAGAGAATTTTCTTTTAGAATTTTCCCTGAAAATTATGGTAATCGTGGGATAATATGATTAATATTTACCACAATAAAAAATATTAATATGTACATAGTAGAATAAAATTAATCGAACATATTTTATATTTTATTGCGGTAGATATTAATATTTTTTTGTGGAAAATATTAATCAGAGGAACTCTTATAAAATTCTTCCAATATTATACAATATTGTCCCATTATTGTCATTTTTTTTTCTATGCAAAGTGAATTTTCTCTTAAAATTTACTCTGAAAATCGTGGTAATCATGAGACAATATGGTATTGGAAGAATTTCATTAGAGTTTTTCTGATTAATATTTATCACAATAAAAATATTAATATCTATCACGAAGAGATATAAAATATGTTCGATTAATTTGACATCTTAGTCAATTTTACTATGTACATATTAATATGTTTTATTGTGCCAAATATTAATCAGAGACACTCGAATCTTATAAAACTCCTCCAATACAATATCATCCCACAATTACCATAATTTTCAGAGAAAATTCTAAAAGAAAATTCTCTCTGGTAGATATTTAGGTGTATCCGGATGGGAAATCGAAACACAACCTTACATCGCGAATGTGAAACGTCGAAGTGAAAGGGCAGAATTTTTTTCGGTCACCAACGTAGGGCCGATTCCTTTCGACGGAATAAGAATGCGCAAATCTGGGATATTGCGACTCGATGCAGAGAGCTGAAGCGATCAATTTCCGAGGGGCTTTCAGAGGAAACTTTCTGAAATATCGTCGCGTGTGTGACGTCTTTTTATCGAGGGAGGTAACGTTTACGCGGCACGTATTTTCGGAATCACAATAGCGATAGCGGAGAGAGGTAATGCAATTCCTCCTTCTTCCTCCTCCTTCCTGAACAGTTCGAAAAGAGTCGCGCTAGAAATAGTCGCCGACCGTTTAGGATAAGCTGGACGTTCGGTGGATTAAGTCGTTCCGACGTCTCGTCGCTACCGAGAAACTTGGGACCGTAATCGTAAAACTTGTGTGCCGATAGGACACCAATCCGAGGACGACGGTTACATGAGTATGAACGGTCGAAAGGCGAAGATGGCACTGGTAGCTTTACGCCCGGTCCCGGACTGCCCGGAGCCGCAGGACTTCGCGGGAGTCTCCTCAACGCAGGAATTTCCGCCGCCTCCGGAAGAGGCCGAACGTATCATCTCGACTCTCCTGCCGATGTAAGTACCCTTTTACAAAGCATTGCATTTCTTCGACCAAACTTTTCCACCAAAAATAACTCCCTTCGAGTTTAAGAGACAGAGAGATCTCGCATCTCTCCATCGTTTTTTTTTGTTACGTTTTTATTACTTATTTTTTTAATATAATTTTAAGTAAAAAAACTATGTTTACTGTTATTTATTATTTTAGTAATTTTTCTTTTTTTTTTTTTTTTTTTATCGATACACAGAATTTTCTCTTAAAATTTATCTTGAAAATCATGATAATCGTGAGACAATGTGGTATTGGAAGAAAATTTTATAAGAGTTTCTCTGATTAATATTTACAAAAAATTATCTGTTTAAGATACAGAATAGAAGCTCCATTTCTATATAAATTAAATTTGTTATATGTAAATTAAATCGTTAAAATACAAATTTAATATCAAGACAAAATGTCGAAATTATATCTTTAATTAACGTAATATATATTTCTGCGCACATCGTAGACATGTAGTGATTTCGTCAATAAAAGTACCTTGAGAAACATACTTCTTTATTGAAAAGGCCGATGAGAGGTTTTCGTTTCGTTGTTTATCGACTGGAAACAAATCAGTCGAAAGTCGGGTGTCGATCGATCGATTTCGCCATCGGAGTCGCATGTTTTCATACACTTGACCCGATGTATCTTGTCTGTCAATAGACGTACACAAGATTCTTGCCATAGACTTTTGACTCGTTTGATTTTCGACTCGCATCGCCGAATTCAAAGTATAATACTGAATGCATAAACAATTTTGGATTATATTTTAACATGTTATAATTTTTAAAAAATCTTACGATTTTAAAATTAGGTTCAAATTGATTTTATTTTCTCGTAATCTTAATCATTTTCAAAATAATTAATGTTAAATACTGAAAATTTCCTTAAAGGAAAAGTCGAAAGTCATCAATAAATCGAACTTTGATTTTTTTAACACAGTTGGATTTTTTAACACAGTTTTGCGCTAAAAGCTTCTTTTTTAAATCTCTAATTGTAAGTAAAAAAAATGATATGTTTACCGTTTATTTAAGATACAGAATAGGAGCTAAATTTCTGTATAAATTAAATTTATTAAAATATCCTTTAGGAACTATAACTGTGAGAAAATGGAGGTTGAAAATTGAAGGAAATTTTCGACTCTGTCGGGATCTGTCATTAAAATTGCATGTCAGCGCGACCCTCTAAATTGATATGAAAACTTACAAATTGCGTTTACAGATTCGGGATGCTCTTAGATGAACGAAGCCGCGTCTGGAATAAACGTCGCGTGCGAGAAAACTCTTTATAGCAAAAAAAAACATCTCGCAAAGCTGCAAATAATTTCGCTCACGTAACGGGTGGCCAGATATAACTCATGGAGTTCCCTCCTTCGAAGCTAAAAGGAGTTCCATTTAAATTTCTTTCGGTGTCCTCCTCTCGGACATCTGCGAGTCCCCTTTGCGCATTTCAAGGACGAGAGAACGGACTTCCGTTTCCGTAACGAGAAGGCGGGGTCCATCTTTCTCCGAACTTTTTTATAGCTTCGGGTTTCAGTTCTGGACCTAACTTGGTTTCATGAGGAGAGCAGACGCCATTCCGAGGGTTCCATCATCGCCGTTCCCTTCGAACTTTGTTCGGCGCATTATTTGAAACAAGATTGATCCTCTCCTCTCGCAACCGGAAGTTAAATTCCGTCTTCTCTCGCATTCTCTTCTCCACAGATTCGCGCTACTTTCGCATAACTCGCGATTGCATTCTCCTCGACGGCGCAAAGTGCACCCGACGACGAAGACGACGACGAGCTTTGCTCGGTTTTCCCTTTGCAGGCGCTCGTTCCTCCGGAAAACTACCCCCGATTTCATCAACGTGCGGCTCTAGTCGCCTAGTACCTAGAAGACCCACTTCTAGGCGTTGCGAAAATTTTCCAGCCACTTGCCTCGCCGTAAACGAGCAAGCACAGCCGGTTTCTCGCCGTTTTTCCACCGGGTTGCATCGATAAAACGCACCTGCACGCTCGCTCGCAATCGCTGACGAGTGCTCCTTAAAGCAGAGTCGACTGAAAGAAATGACCTCGCTCTCGACCTGGATTATTTTATTTAAACATTAATCGATCCATTATAACAATGTAATTTAATATACTTCAAATGTCTGTCAAATGTTGAAAATGGAAATTTTATTCAAAGACACAGAGATTTCTTTTTAATTATATGTATATATTTTTTAAATTATAAATATATATATATATATATATATATTTATATACATTTATATAAAAAAATTCCAATTATATTGTATGAACAAAAAATAATCATATGCATTTTTAAACGAGGAGAATTTTCTCTTAGAATATTAATATATGTATATTAATTTGTACACAGAGAATTTTCTCTTAGAATTTACCCTAAAAATCATGGTAATCGGGGGACAATATGGTATTGGAAGAATTTTATTTTCTGATTAATATTTACCATAATAAACAATACTAATATGTACATAATAAAATTAATCGAACATATTTCACATTTTATGTATGGTAGATAATATATTAATCGGAGAAGCTCTTATAAAATTCTCCCAATACCATATTGTCCCACAATTATCGATTTTTTTAAAATTTGAAGAGAAAATTCTTTCCGCGAAAAGTGCACGATCTTGATAGAGATTTTAGTGCAAAATATTGTCTGCATGATATTCGCAGTTTCTCCTATCTGACTGACTTTCGAAGCCATGAATTGTTCTTGTTAGACGCGCAGGGTCCTTAAGCCGTCGTCGACGGCATCCTCGTTGTACCTGTCGATCCTAATCACCGCGTTTCATGCCTATTACCCGTTCTATCGCGGGAGAGGAAGCATCTGCGAAGTGCATTCGAGCTCCGCCGTCCTCGAAATGCAGACTCTCTCTCCTCCTATCTTGGAAGACCTCTCCGTAGAGAACGCTCGTCATTCCGGCAAAACGGTCCCTTCGCTTCTCCGTCTCGTCGTCGTCGACGCAAGAAAATCAGCACGACTTCTCCCTTTCGAGTATAAAGTAAAGTCTCAACGGTAAACTTGTTTTGCGCCAAGGAGGTTTTCCTTCTTTTTTTTTCTTTCCTTGTGTCCACGAACTTTGCACAGCGTCCGAATGTTTTCTCTCGCGATGTCCCTCTTTTTACAAAATAAATTGTCTATTTTTTATTCCACTCTTTTGTCTAAATAATTGTTCTACTTATGTCGCAATAATATTTAATTAGTCAAGATTTACTATTTATTTAATTATCGCAATAGCAGGAACACGCGTCTTTATCTGACAGATTCTTGCGCTTTGATATTAAAATTTATACAAATTCCTCGGCAATAGATTTTCCTGAGAGTGACGTATTTCTCAAGAGAATTTTGCAACCTAGATGCAAAGATGGGTCGTACTGCGGACGATTGACCGCATAACGTTAAAATAACACGAAGGGAATCGCGTTATCACGTGGGGCACCATCTTCCTCGGCGCCTTCGTCGGAAAGGCAACGTTTATCGACTGGAAAAGAACCGAAGTCGAGCATCGATCGATCGCTCTTCAGCATCGTCGTTCACTCTCTTCATGTCGTACATACGCTCGATTGAGACGCTTCTTCGTCCACGTCGCGTCAAATCGCGTGTTAAAAATGTGCTTTAATCTACATTTGCGTGCTGTGATTCTCTTAAATTTTACCTCGATATTGAATTAAGATAAAAATGAAATGAAGACATTTAATATTTTAGAGTCTGTTCGACTATTAAAATCTTACATAATTTGAATTCAGATCGAGATTTATATGATATTAATTAAAATATTTCTGTATGAACGAATTTTATATTTAAATTTTTTTGAAAATTAAACTTAACAAGAACTTCTTAAGAACTCTTTTTTCAGTATTTTACTTTTTAATTTTTTTTACATAAAACAATTTTATTAAATTCTGTAATTCTTATCAATTTTAACTTTTCTTAATGTTAGCTCAAATCGCATAATTTTTCTGCCCTACTTTTTATATGCATTCAAGTTTATCGAGCGAATCATCAGAATTTGACAATAATCTTGACTCTCTCGCTGGAAAGCAAACGAGGAAAAAACGCAAAAAATTGATTGGCCGACATAAAGACAAATCTCGACTAAATTTATTCCAATGTTCTCTATCCCTTCTTTCCCGATGTTCCATCGACTCCGTTATTCGACCGCGGACACTCTCTGAATTTATTGCGTTCCCCTTCGGCAACTTGGTAACTTTGGAAATATGTCGAAAGAGGGTTAATAGGATAAAAAACTTTACTCTCTTTGCGCGCACACGCACATACGTTCTGATGATGTATTGTCATGCGAGTTTTGCAAACATTTGGCATTCCTGTGCCATACGAAAATATCGCGAACTCCGCGTCTTTTCATCGCGGAGAACTTTTTTTTCAGTTACTAAAGTAACAGCACAACGAGGAAACAACACATCGATAATTTACTCCGCGAATTCCCGGCGATTCTCATGTCCGATATTTCATTCCGATGTTCAATATTGAAGACAAATAACCCTTCTGTCAACAATGCATAATTTTTCATCTTCCTCTCAATGTATACCTGGGTACCAATTACACGTTTTCGACTACTATGACAATTTTTATAACAGAAAGCTTCGTATATTTTTCCCGTCATATTTTAGCGAGTTTGCGAATATAAACATCACCTTTGTATTTTATTTCGGACAGATTTTTAACATTTAAATATCGCGAGTTCTTTCCATTGCGAGAGAACATTTTTTAATTACCGAGTAAAGCAAACATTATAAAGTAACAGCACAACCCAGAAAACAACAGATTGATAAATAATTTATCTCGCGAATTTTCAACGATTCTCATGTCCGATATTTCATTCCGATGTTAAATATTGAAGACAAATAACCCTTCTGTCAACAATGCATAATTTTTGATCTACCTACATCAAAGTATACCTGGGTACCAATTACACGTTTTCGACTACTGCAACCATTTTTTATAGGAGGGAGCCTCGAATCTCTTTTTCCGTCATATTTTAACAAGTTTCGGATGCAAACATCTTCTGTATTTGATTTCGGACGTATTTTTAACATTGAAAATTACCTTGGGTACCCGGGTGCATCGGTAGCAGGGTTAAATTACATACGAGTTTTAGGAGAATCACGCGAGGTTCGATCGGCGATGTAATACCGTATCTCTATCCCATTTTCGTCTCGTTTGCCAGGGTTTCCCCGGGAAACTCGTCCAAGAGAAACGTCGTGGCCCAGGAGCGACGAGGTAACGGCCGGCAACAGTGGATGGTGGAGGAGAGCATGATGCGGCATGGAAACGCCGTTACCACACAGACTACTCTCGTGAGTACCATCTTGCTAGCTCTTTGATCGTCTCCGATAACTTGGTTTATTTACGACGACGCGAGTTGCCCGAAAACGCACGTTCCGCGGATCGGACGCTCGTAATCTCGCGACTTTCTCGTCGGAGCTCGTCGTAACGATGCCGATTTACGATGCCGAACGCGGAAAATCGAAACTCGGAGGAGCTGGCGAGACGCGTCGCTGGTATCTCCTCGATCACGAGCGATCGAGGATTTCGTCGCGGAATGCGCCAGTTTCGGGCTGGAATGAACGATGGGAGACACTCTCGGTGAGCTTCCAACGAGCGGATCGCGATATACAACGGGATTTTCCGCGTTTCTTTGGAGCGAGTTGAAATATCGTCGCGATAAAATGTCAAAGTGTCCATTCTGAAGATATAAGGGCGAGACTCGTCTTTTGGAAATAATGGAATCGTTTTCTTGATGAATTTCTTTGTTAAAAAGATTAAGAAGGAAGAATCTAAGAATACTTTTAATTCATGCAGATGATAAATAACAAACCCTTAATCTTCAAAGTTAATTAGATGAAACGCTCGATCGAATGTTTCTACGAATCGAATGAATTTTGACAGCCCAAGACCCGGCATCAGCGGCCCTACGGCTGGGAGAACGGGACCGTGGAGTCGTTCCGATTGGCCCAGCTGCCCAGTCCGCCCAGCAAGTTCGCCAGTCTGCCGTACGACGTCAAGGTGTCCTTCAACTGGATCCCGCCGCGGACGAACCCGAGCGCGGTGGAGAAGCACCGCGAGGTGCGTCGCCGCTCCTCGGACGAGTGTCTGGACGACGCGAACAACCTGGACAGCCGTCCGCGACGGGACAGCCCGGATCGCGCGAGGAAGCACTCGTCGCAGCAACGGAGTCAGCAGAACCACGAGATCATGAAGTCGAGCAGCGTGGAGGACCGCCTGCTGATGAACCGGAGCTCGGACGGGACGAAGGACGTGACGACGTCGTCGTCGGCGGCACAGCGCGGTCGCCGCAGCCGCAACGACTCGGACTCGAGCGAGGGCCGGTTCTCCCGGAACTCCGAGTCCGAGAGTCGCTCGTCGATACCCCGCTCGAGCTCGGTCAGCGTCGAGCGTTTCTCGATGCGCGCCAACTGCGACTCGTCCGACTTCTCCCGCGCCAACTCCACGTCCAACGAGCGCTTCCACTCGGACTTCTCGATAGCGGTCGCGAGCGCGAGCTCCAACGATCACGTGTCCGTGCCGACCTCCGACCCGTTCTCCATCCGGAACCTCGACTTCGTCTCCTATTCGCGGGCGGACTCGTGCGAGCGCTTCTCCGCGCCTATGTCCGACCGCTGCTCCGAGGAACGCTACTCCGACCTCTTCTCCACCCGGAACTCGGACTTCTCCGCCCGCAACTCGGCCGATTTCAGGACGCAGTCCGAAGAGGAACGCTTCTCCGACGATTCTTTGGAGGAGCTGTTGCCGCCACCGCCACCCATCAGCAAGAGGCACTCCATCGCCTGGGAGGTGTCCCTGGAGGACGATCCTTTGTACGCGCCCGGTAGCACCAAGGTCGTCGGCAGGAGACGACGAAAGAGCAGCGACGTCTCGAGTAAGTGCCTCCTCCTCGCTTCTTTTATCTCGAGAAAAGACAATAGAGCGAAAGCTTTTGTAGTGATAATTGTAAGATTACACAGTTCAGCGGAAAGCTTCTTTCAATCTAATAGAGAGACAGAGTAATTTCTTTTTTCTTTTTTTTTTTTGCTGAATATAATTCCGACAGTGTCTGCCTTATCAATGTATATTTCAATATATTATTATATTAATACAGCTGACCCATGTAACATATTGGAAAAGTTTTACATGATTCAAAATTAAGTGTATTGTTAGAACTTGATTAAAAAAAATTAATTGTGAAGATTAGCTATCCCGAGGAAACAAATAAAGGATTATAAATAAATGATTATAAATCCGTTTCAGGCGTAGGTTCCGCGTCGAAGCTGCGCGACTTCGACGATTGGCAGGATCCACGGCAATCGACGACCGATGACGACCTGATCTCGCCGTACTCGGACTCGTCCACGAACGATCTCGATCAGATACGGCCGCAAGAGCTCACGAAGAACGGCACGTACGTTATAAGACGCGGCCGCAAGAAGGAGCGCAAGGTTCTGCCGAAGACCCCGACCAAGACCAAGAGTCTCTCTTTCGAGAACGGCGAGGACGGTCGACTGTCGGACGTGAAGCGATACTCGAGCACCTTCGACAACATCAAGAGTCTGTTGAAGGAGGGCAAACTCGAGGGCCTGAACGAGCCGCCGCCGGAATTCGCGGCCTCGGTGCCACCCCCGATCTCATCCGGGTCGTCTCGATGCCGGCGATCAACAATGATGCCAACAGTCGCGCCCAGCTGGAGATTACCGTGGAGGAGGAGGAAACGTCCGATATCTCCGACAAGGATAAGGAACGCGACAACCTGGAGCTACCACGATTACCGCCGTCGCCGCTCGACGACGATCGAACGAGGGATTGCAACGTTCTGCCGACAGCGCCGAACCTGGACATCGGCAAGTCGTACCTCGACGAACCGCAGGCGACGAGGAAAAAACTCGGGGCCGCGGTGAGCGACGAGCGACTGGCCTCCAAGATCCCGGTGAATCTGTTGATCGAGGATCAGATCGTGAAGAAGGCGCTCAAGGAGAACCGTCGGCAGCTGGAGAAGGTGAGCGATGCGATCAAGGAGATTGAGAACGTGAAGAATAGCGAGTCGTACAGCGAGAGCAAGCGCTGGCGAAACGGCGATCTGAGGCAGAACAGCTGTTCGAAGCGCAACAGCTTCGATAACGAACCGATACACGACCGGAAACCGATGATGGTCGACGGCAGTCCCTTCGACAGCAGATCCCGTGGCAAACAGCAACAACAGTCACAACAGTACAGCTCCGACTCCGAGACGTCCAAGGCCAGCTCGGACGCGGACTTTGCCGATCGGAGAAAATTGAACGGCGTCGCCGACGTCGTCTACTCGTCCGGCAGACGTCTGCGTCAGAATGGCATCGAGAGCCACAAAAACGATCAGAAACAGATCGAGAACGTAATCGATGCCATTCTGGAGGACTCGAAGAATCCGGAGTTCCAGGTAGGTAGACGAATTACTCTGGGTCAGGAGGACCAATTTCGCGTCACTCAAAACGCGGAGAGAGAACGAGACGGATGAAACTGAAATAAAGACTCCGCCCTTCTGGCGGAGGGCTACTAGGATGCATCCACATCGTGAAAAATGCAAGACAGGAAATATATACGGAGGATACGCGGCGTAAGCCGTGATAGTGGAGGAGGCACCTGAGCAGCTGAGACCGGAGCGCCTCCCCATATATAAATTGAGCGTAGTTCTGTAATATAGGATTCCATTAGCGATGCCGCGCAACAGTACCATATTTCTCGTCATGAACCGCAGAAGTAACTATGGGGTCGATTTACCCTTCTTCTCTGCACGCGAATCCGTTTTTACTAGTTCCCACATATAATTGGCTATGGTAAAAAATTCATTTTTTATCGCACGCGATCGAGGTATCTACTCTTCGGAAAAAATGAAATTCCTGGAAGGAAATGATTTTTCTTTTTTTTTCTTAGAAAATCAGAATTCAATTTTATTAGGGCTCGAGGAATTTTTTCTAAAAATTTTGATAATTTTGCTTTTATATTGCAAGCAGTTCGCCAATTGCTCAAGTTTACAGTTTTAGTTATTACAGTAAGCAATTATTGCTCTCATCATTTTGTGTAAAATTAACGACGATAAATCGATATTTAATAGAAAAAAATACTAAGATATATGCTCCATACACTATATTCAATAGAAAATCTTCACTTTAAAATATATTGATAAGAATTGTAAATAATGTGTCAGAAGAAATCAGACAAATTCTCAGAGAATTTATATCGGAATTTATAATTATATGATTTGCAATCTTGATTAGCTCGTTCAGTTCTGGAATATTAATTCTTACATAACGACAGTAATTAATAATGATTCGAGCTTAAATAAATGAATTGCGACTGTTCGAGATACTTTCGTTTCCATTAAAATTCTTAAAGAATAAATATATAATCTTTGATTCGTTAAAGATATTTCTCGAGAGTAAACGTACGCTTGCCATGAATTTTTTAGTTGTGAATTGCCCTCGTTGATCCAATGCACGAGTCGATGAAAATATTCAAACTCGTTGAACAATCATCCAGGTGAATGGCTATTCATACGCGTATCGTCACAAGAGTCCTTCATCGATTAACTGTTTCTGGGTCAAACTAGTTTCCATTGGAAATTTGCATTTCCAGCCTCTGTTAGTCGAAAGCTTTTTGTGCCGATCTCTCAAAACGTTTACCACTCATCGGAGAAAAGATTTGATAATGACAACATTAATGCCTGATATTTTAGCTATTTATTCGATTATAACGTCTCTAATTATTATAATCTTTCAAACTATTTATCGCAAAACTTGACAGCTAAAATGTGCGATCAAACAGAAATCACGAATGTTTAGATGTTGAATTTTCAAACCGCGCTACCTGAATAAATTGATTCTCTCCCGCGTCAAAGATGACGTTTCAACCGCATTATTATCTCGTCAGGTGAGCGTCGAAGTGATGGAGTTTCCACCGTTGCCGCCCTCGCCCGTCGAAGAGGCCGACGAGGAGAGCTGTTCGGACGCCGGTCAAGGTGCCATGATGACACCGCCAAAGTCCAAAAGCCACAACCGGACCGTGGAGTACAGGCCGAGGGTGCCGCCTCATCGTGTCCCGCCGGTCATCGACCCGAAGGAGCAGGCTTCCTTGAACACCAGGTCCATGGACGCCGGCTACTCCAGGGGGAGACGCACACCGACCACCAGTAATTCCAGGCGAGAGGTGAGTTGGTTGAAAATATTCAACAAGTCGCGTTTTTTATTGCATTTCTGTTCAAATATGCCTTATTTAATTTAAAATTTATATTATATTTCTAAAATTTATTGGGTGTCTTTTTATACATACATATATAATAACAGATTTGTAGGATATTTATATAATATAAATTGTAAATATAGCTTCATTAATTTATAATTTTATTATATTTCCAAAACTATCAGATGTCTTCTTATAATAGCATATTCTCTGACCAATTGGAATTGGAGTTTTTTTTTAGCGAAATGTCGAGAGAATCATCACTTTTTCCAATTCTTTTCATTCTTTTATTATGTTTATAACTAATTGTGAGTGTAAGCTTAAAATTCTTTTAAAGCAAACTCTACCTGAAACTAGCTGAAGAATATAATTTTGTTAGCCTTTTAACTCCACAAAGTTTAGTTTGCGAGCATCTTTTCTTTTCAATCTTGAACTCGAAAATTATTGATACCTCGACATTTTTGCTTAGGAAAAATAATTTCCAAATTCCAGAATCCATTATTAAAAGAATACAATAGTGATTTCTAAATATTCTATATATAGGGAGGGAAATAGATTTTTATTTAATATTTTTAGTGTAAAAGTTTACAATATTTATAAACGCGTAAATTCTATGACACGATATATAAAACACTAATAAGTGCTGGCAAGAGGGCACGTGGCTTTCGAGGGAAAAAGCCACCGACTTCCATAGAGGGCTGGAAATAGCTTCCACCGGGGATAAAAATAGAGATGAAGGAAGGAGTGAGAGAGCAGAAAGAGAAAGAGAACGCAATAAATATACTGGCGACGTGCCAATTTCTCGTATTGCCGTAATAAAATACTACGATGTACTCTCATTGTATACCGGAGGAATATCCCCATGTTAAGTGCAACATTCGGCATAAACTGCGCTCGGGACCACGAATCGATGACACGGAAAGACATCGCGCCGGAAAAACTACCCTGTATATACACAGATTCATTCTGCAGGCGCGTCCAAATATGTACATACGTGAAACTTTGACGCGGGTATGAAAATTTGATCACGAATGGTCGGTATAAACCGATGTGTCGACGTATCAAATTTGATATAATCCGAATGGACTTGAATAATATAAAGTATCGTTCGAAATTCACCGACGAATGATTAACATCGATCATCGAGATGTAATTTTTTTTTATTTTTATTCAACGATTTTTATTGTATCTTGTCAAAATGCACATAATAATTAATTATAGTACATCGGTTACTTGTCTCGTTATGTACATAAATATGTCGTCAGCTTTTTCTCTAATTATTTAATATATTTATTATATATATATTATACGCATCGTAATTTTTCTTTTAAAAGACCAATTTTTTTCATCGAAAAAATAAGGAGACACTTAGTTTGAATAAGTCGTATCGTAACAATTAAAAAAATTAGATAAAATAATTTCAACGCAAAGAAGCTAAGGGATGATATTACGTAAATAAAGCCATGCATATCGGATACTTCGCGCATTTAACATCCGCAAAACAAATCTGCATCCATTAATCCAATTGATTCCTTCAGACGACACGTGTCTTCCGTGTGTTCTTACGCAACACTTAAAAAGGGTGAAAAAGAAATTATACCTTGCCAGATTGAATCAAAGAGATGGAGGATGAGAGAGAAAAGTGAGAACAAAGACTAGCTAAGGGAGGAACACACGTGTACGACCATTCCGGGAAATAATCGGACTCCCACGCTAATTCACCCTCATTTTCTCCTTTCATTCGCCGACATATTGTCATTCGCCAGCCACCGTAATTTTCGCAACGGGCAAGATTTTCCCCGGAGGGCCCTTTCAACGCAAATTGATTTTCATAGAAGAGAGAGAGAGAGAGGAGTTTCGTCTACGAATCTCTTCTCTTCCACGATAAATAAAGTGCGAGAGCACATCACGATATCCGCCGCCACGATGAAGTCTGCGGCTGAAAACGATATCGCGGTCGTTAACGCTTGTATCCACGATCGGATTACTTATCAATGATGATACAGGGGTCGTTACGCACGTCAACACGTCGATTTTATACAGTTATCAGTACGTCGAGGGAAAGAGAGAGACAATGAGATCGCCCCGGCGAGATATCGCACCCTCCTGCAGCAGACAGTCCTTGGAAAAAGGTATAGACAGGGATAAAAACGCAGAGAATAGGGAGAAACAGTCGTTCTTTCCACCGTTGTGTATGACGCTCGCGTATTGTCTCGTTTGCTGGACCGACTGGGAGGCTGCGAGGGCCGATGAATGACTGGGGACCCGGACGTCCCCATGATAAATAAAATGTCCGTGTTTCACCCGGTCTCTCTATGCGCATTGTGCATAATGAAAAAGGCAGGACATGAGGGTTGCGTTTTCGAGGGAACGCGTGATGCAGATTCGCTCGATACGGCAGAACGTGTCTCGGAATTGTCGGGATTAATCCAGACACGTTGGAATTCTTTGTTTGGTTTCCAAACTGGGGATCTTTCGTTAATTAAAATACTTTGGATACTTTAAAGGGTGATTCTTGACAATCGGCAACGAGTTGCGTATCGCGTACAAAAGGATAAAAATCTCTCCTTGCGTTTAATTTTACATTCTCTTCCGAACTTTTTCTTTAGAATTTCGAGATTCACATTTTTTATCCTGATAATATTACGTCGTGAAGGAAAAGTTATTTTTATATACATAATATATCAAATATATACTAAATATATTAAAATTGATGTGTTAATCTAAAATACTTAAAAATAGAGTAATTAATTTTAAAAATGAAAACTATTTAAATTAAAAAGCTAAAAGTACATTTCGTATATTTTAGCAATTACATTTCTCAATTTGTGCATTTTGTAATATCCTGTAAGAATCGAATCTTAATAAAAAAAACCCTGAAAATCACAATAAAAAATATTAATATCCAGCACAATAAAATATAAAAAAATATATTCGATTAATTTTACTATATATTATTAATATTTTTTATTGTGGTAAATATTAATCAGAAACACTCTTATAAAATTCTTTCATATTGTCCCACGATTACCATGATTTTCAAGGTAAATTCTAAAAGAGAATTCTCTCCGTGTACTTAGAATTATGTTTTGTTCTTCGACGTTCTTTTGGGGTAAGATCAAGGAATACAAACGGAACAATATTTGCCGTGTGATAACAATCGCGCGTACTCGTTACATATTCAAATACATGTCAACCACGAGAAAACGATATAGTCGAATTTTTCCTGGAACGCTCCCTGCGACGACATATCTTTCAAACCCCTGCGTTTCCCATTCTCGACTTTAAATACATTTCAAACAGATTTATTCCGTTTTCTCGCCGTAAAATTCTTTCGTTCCCTGTGACCGCCCTGCAATTTTTATCGCGACATTTCGCATACCATCAGTTTGTTCTCCCTTCTTTTTTTTATTCGTGCAACGTTACTAGAAATTCAGATCTCGATGTGTATCGATATATAAAAAGGAAAAGAAAAATTCCTGCGAGATGACAAGAAGATAAAGAATCGAGGGAAACGAATGGAAAATCTCTGAAGAATTTTTCTACGATATCGATACGCAAAACAGATACGTGACATCTAAAAATATCGAATCCTATCGTGTTATAATCGCGAAGAGGCAACTTATAGAGTGTAGAATATTGTCCGACTTAAATTAATAACAGTTTTGTAATCGAGGAACCGGGAGTTTATGAAAAATGAATTCGCCGATAGTCCCGCGATATTCCATTCGTTTCTCCATCATCGCAAAAGGCCCTTCTGCGCCGAGTGCTCGATCATCGAAATGACCGACGTTCATCGTTGGAGTGAAGCGCTTTATCGGCGCAATAACTCGCGAATTGCACCAGACTCTAGAGATTCAGTGGTGAAAGATGAAACTACGGAGTAAGTTTCTACTCCGAAGTAAAAATCTTAATAGAGATAAAAAAGAAGGTACTCTCTTAATTGAACGCGATTAAAGCAGCGACATTTTTACTGATTCGGTTTAAGAATATTTCATTTACGTTTCACTGATCAGCCATTAATTAATTCTCCTCTCTCTCTCTCTCTTTGTCTCTCACACGTAACAAATGAAATTCTGCAATGCTATATATATATAATAGAAGAAAAATCCATATACATTTTCCCGTAACTTAAATTTTCCACATCGAACACGCTCATTGGATTCTGAGGAACCGAAAGTTCGGGAAACTTCAAAAGTGGATCTTCTACTTTAATGGAATTTTAAGTTACTTTCAGTTTTCGAACTTGAATCTCTCGACAATTAAGCCCTGCTCAAATTCCATGTCCGAAGGTATAATTTCATTTAGAGAGAGATCCATCGATCTAGAGAAATCAGGAGGGATCTGCGAATTTATCGCGAACGAAAAGAGAAAGAAGAGATAATTTAGGGGACATAAACATAATCTCCGACTACGAATAAGAACCGACGCGATAACTCGGAGACACCCTGTAGAGGGTTGTTCTGCGCAAGGTATCTTCGCGATATAATTCGTGCGCAGGTTGAATTCTATCTACGGCAGGATTACAGGGATGCGACCCTTCCTCCTCCTCGGCATTTAGATCCTGTATTCGCATAAGCTCTGTATCAGAGATCGGTTAGAACCCCTGTTCGAAGCTTCTATTCCGAGCTTTCGCTCGATCGGTTTCAAGAACGTATCGTTGAAAAAAAATTGCCAATATTTGCAGCCACAATGAGAGCGAGCTTCCTATCGACTCCGTTTTCTTCCCTCGCGAATTTTTCTCCTTTTTTTCGCGTCGGCTTCCATCCCAATTCCTGGTTCCCAGACAGGGGTGCATAATACAATGGCAAAACGACGTGTGTACCTACAAGGGATGGTGTGTCATATAGATCTTTCCTTTTACCGAGATCACGCACTGATAGATTCTTATTCTCATGACAAATGATATGGGTTTGTTACAGATTTTTACGTTGTAATTTTCAATGGAAAGTTGTACTATTTTTATTCTAAACTTGGCAAAATTGATTTCGACGTAACTAGAATTTTATTCAATACTTTCACGACGTTTCGACCATTTGGTTGTGGTCCTTATCAAGTGAGAATTCTATAACACAATCAATGTTGAAACATACAAGAACTGAGATTGTAAAGGGATATGAAAAACAGTATCCTTGAAAGAATGCAAATATGCCTTGATTTACTTTATAATAGCGCCAAATACTTAAAACAAAGTGCAAAATATTCTTAAGCTGAAATTTACTTATAAATATTGCTGACACATCGGATATAAGCGGTACTTTCAAGGTTCAAATGTGACTAAGTTTGTTTTACCATATGCGATTTTAAAACAAGAATATATCTTAAGTTATACACACAAACTTATTTATTATTAAGGCAAATGAAAATTTGTGATTACAGAGCATTTTATGCTTAAATCAATTAAATAGCGTTCAAGAATAAAAATATACTTGAATCAAGGATTTCTTTTTTTCTGTGTGTATATATATATATATATAACCGCACATCCCTTGCACAATCCGAAGAGAATAAACTGAGCCGGATCGATTATGCATAGATTCATCGAAAGGGTCAAATTATTTCTGCATTATATCTCATCGTGTATTGAAGAAGGAAAGCGGATATCTTATGCAGCTTGAAAGGGATCCTTCGAAAGAGATGAAAACAGGAAAGGGAGGAAAACCGACCCGCCCTTCTCGTCTTATCCTTCCTTTACCCCCTCCCTCATCATCTCATTTTATTCCTACGATCGAGTACATCCTTCAATCGCGTTATGAGACTCGAAAGACGTATTTCGAGAGAACGAAGACCTTCGAAGGAGACCGATTGCTCTTCTGTGAGAGACGTTCGTTTATTTATACCGTTGGGGCGCACGATTCTTCGGAATCCTCTGAATTTTAAATCCTTAATAACTTCCGAATATAAATCTCAAAATAATATGACACGTCATCGATATTTTAGTATAATTTTTCCCTCTTTTATACACTCGCGGATTGTATTTCATTTCCCATCCCTCGCGTACATCAAAAAAATATAAACGAGGTTTATTTAAAATTCTATTTTATCGCTGCGACTGTAGGATAAAATATCGCAATCGAATTTTTATTACAGATAGAATTAATATAGGTATCGATATATATATATATATTTTTGATGCGTCAATTTCGAGAAAAAATTAATTGCTTTTGAAACTGATTAGTCATGCAGAGGGCAGAAATTTTCTTTGGTGCGCCAAAAAATTACACAAAGCTCATAGATTTTCATTTTTAATAAACTTGTGTCCCCCTATTTTTTTTTTTTTTATTTTAAAGATCAATGTCTCCGCCGCACGTGATAATTTTACACAAGGGAAGACGTGATCTATCGAACCTTTGTCACGGGATACGTGCTTCTACACGTTCCCTTAACATCGTTGCGTCAGCGAAACTTTGTTGCAACGAGTCACTTCGAATAACCAGACAAGTAACTTTGCCAGAAGTGAAGAGAAGAAGCGACGCAGAGGACAGATTACAACACGGAAAGTTTTTCAGAAAGACAGAGAGAGAGAGAGAGAGAGAGGAAGAGAATATTCGACATCCAACTCGCTTACTTTTATATTCAGATTTGTTTCTCCAGCTGCGAGACGCAATTACCTTCGATCCGAATAATGAAACGAGAAAAGAAGAAGGTCATAGAATGTGGGGGGCAGAGATGCTGATTAATTAATTATTTTTAAATTAATTATGACATTTAATTACAAACAGATGTAATCAAATGTAATTAAAATATTTGGAATTGACGATTAATTTTAGAAAGATTAATTAGAGATCGTTACAATGACGATTGGTATAAGCTAGATTAATCGAAGATCGCTTAATTAACGAATATGATTGAAGTCAATTGAAGGTTATTTAAATTTAATAATTAATAATTTAATATAAATATTTAAATTCAGTCATGTTATATCATCAATCAAACATCTTCGATTAAATTTATTTAAATTTTATTAATCGTTACACATAGTTAATTAATGAAAATAGAGAAATTATATCGATTTTCTTAAGTCAATCATTAATGGAAGAGATTCGCATTAAATTTGCTATATTTAATCGTCAATTATATACTTTTTAATTGCTTCTGCTCAAATCAATTGTCAATTGAATTGTCTTCGATTGAATCTTTTTTTCAATCGTCCATTCCAAGTACTTCTAATTAAAATTAACTCATATTAATCGTTTAATTGAAAAACTTTCGATTAAATTAGCTTGTATTAATCGTTTAATCGATCGCTCTCCGATTAATTTCGTTTATATCAATTGTCAATTAAATAACCTTCAATTGACTTCGATCATATTAATCGTTAATTAAGCGATCTTCGATTAATCTAGCTTATATCAATCGTCATTGTAACGATCTCTAATTAATATTTCTAAAATTAATCGTCAATTCAAAATATTTTAATTAAATCTGTTCATATCATTTGTTCAATTTTAAAAAATTTAATTGATATTTTGCCAACTCTGGTGGGGGGATACTTTAAAATCTCTTAATTGGAAAAGGACGAGCGAGACGAGTAAATGACCCGAATTCATTTTACTTACTAACGCGAAATGAAAATAAAAGCTTTCGCGCCGAGGAAGGTCCCTGGTCTTTCGACGCCATCTTACGGAATGAATGAATAAATAAGTTTGTACACCTCGGGCGCTCCGAGATCCCGTTCCTTTAATTGGAGTGTGTACTAAAAAAAGATCTCGCGAATTAAGTTGCTTCTTTCTACAGGGGTAGGTCTTATTCGTCTAATTCCGAAGTCTCTGCAGCAGTCGACGTTTGTGCGAAAGCCTTGAGACTACAGGGAAGATACTGTTAGAAAATATTCCGAAATTGGTATTTGCCCTTCTTCGTCGTACGTTATCTTCCTCCATATTTCATGTATCTTAAAATGCATGTGCGACCTGTCGAGGAAAAATCTACCATCCCGAGTTTTCCGCGGGATGTTGTACTGTTTGATAGCGTGATAGGAGGATAAAACTCTTCTTGGATCATATCGTCTCTCCCCGGATTGACGGTAACAAACAACCCCTTCCTTCAGTGCAGCAGGATGTAAACAAACGTCGACAGTTCTTGCGAGGTACGAAGGCGCAATTTATACGCCGTCAGTGTCGAGACTTTGTGTTGACGAGCGAAAGAAAAACTCCACCACATTCCCGGAGAAGCGGACAAAGAGGGAAGTTTGTCGGGATTACGAAGAAAAGAGTTTGGCTGAACTGCATAAAGTTTTCATTAGGGATATTGGCCTCCCTCTGGCCCTCCCATTTTTTTCTTTCCTTTCCACGGACTTTCACTTCGCGAATGAAGTCGACCGCGGTAATTTTAATAATCTAACAACAAAGGCGAACAATCCCAAGTGTTGGATGCTGCAGGATCACATATTTTAACATTTAAAGTTACTTTTGGTGTACCTGGGTACCTGTTCATGCAGTGCTTTTCCTAAATAAAAATTTAAAGCCCACATCGACCGACCTTTAATTTTCTCTATTCTATATGAACGAACCGAATCATGTGTCAGAGAAAATATCGCTAACTTTATACGCAGAAATGCATTATTCCTACATTAAATGCCGTTCTTCGTAAGGTAAAATGTCTCGCGACAAGTTCGCGAAATGCGGCGCATTCGGTTAATAATTATTGCCGCAATAAAAGTTGCGGCAAGGGTTTTCTAGTGCCAGCGATGCTCGAATGGAGTGCGATAAAAATGATTTACGACGCAATAATTATAATCCTTGCCGCGGTGGTAAAATCCTTATGAAAGGAAAGGGGCAGCATCCCTTTTTCGCGTTATCTTTTTTCTCTTCAAGTACCGCGGTACCAGCAAAATAGCCCAAGGTGATATTTTTGTCAAAATGTTGGAGATGGAGCACTCGAAGAGAGCATCTATCAATCATCCGAATTATCTGTATCTCAAACACGTAAGGAATTCAGTTGCTCTAGGAAGAAAGCTATTTATTAATGTGAGATTTGTAAAAAAAAACTTTAAATTTTCAATTTAACTTAACATTACTGTCATTTAATTTAATATCGGTTTATTAAAAGATATATAGAGTACTTTCCCAGATGACAAAATAATTATTTTTAATACAATTTTATTGGTATATTCTCTCATTAACGAGTCTTCTCTTTGTCCCAGGTACCTGTGGAACGAAGGACTCTGCCTACTGATCTACCGGGACCCTCCCGTCGGCGACCTTTCTCGAAGAGGCACTCGCCATCGGCAGAGGCATGTTCCTCCGGGGGTAGCAGCGGCGGTGGCGGAGGTGGCGGTGGCGGTGGAGGCGGCAGCGTCACCACCAGCACCGGTTCCGGGATGCAGACGTCGTGCTCTCTACCGGAGACCCCGGTGTTCGCCAGAGGCAGCGACATCCCTAGAACACCCCAACACGCTGGCAACCCGACGCAGTCGAGGCGGCAACCCGGCTGGTACGCACCCACCACGGCTACCGGGTGAGCATCCCCATCCGGGTGTTCGTTTCCAGCAAACACCGATATATAATTGTTACATTGCTATAATAAAACGGAATATAACAGGTAATATAACGTGTACGTTACATGTAACATCCATGTTAGTTGTAATTTCCCACTCATAGATGTAACATTTTAATATAACATATATTACATTGTAGTTATATTGTAATTATATACCAAATAGCACATTGATGTATTGATAAGTCAGTGCTATCTTGGGATATAATGACAATATAACTACAATGTAATATATGTAATATTAAAAATGTTACATCTATGAGTGGGAAATTACAACTAACATATACGTTACATGTAACATGCTTGAGTATATAACATTTATATACTGTGTTTGCTGGGTTATCTCCCTCGAGAAGAGGAGAGAAAAGGACGACCTAGATTTAAATTGTAGATTTATTTTTTTTGCAAAATTATTCATGCTACGTCACACTTTTAGCTATCGGCGAAACAATCCCGGTCTGGAGCAGGCCATAATCGGCACCGAATTACTCCGGCTGGCTGGGGGACCGAATCGCGGATGGTATCCCACGAGGAAGACGAATCAGCCGCGACCGGCGTCGATCGAGCACCTGGAGCGACTCAACAACGCCTATGACGCACGGTTACCCGGTTCCGGGGACCAGAGGAAGCCGCTGACCCTGCCGACGAACATCACGCCCAACAAATACTTCGGCCAAAGTAAGCACAGCTCCGCCTCCAGCACTCGCGAGGCGCTACGGAGGGTCACTAGCTTGCTCATCAAGAAAGGTAAGCGCCGGAGATTTGCGCTATTAGAAAAAGAGTGAACGCACCGCGCCTTGAACGTGAGCGCGTGACACAGACGTGGAGAGCACGACGTCGTCGCCTGACAGTGACCGCCTGGACAATCATTGGATCCCCATTTACACCTGAGATGATTTCACGGTTCTCTTTTTCGTTTTTTTTTTCTTTTTTGTGGTTGTGCTATCAAATCTAATGCTCAAACGCTCTTTCAATAGAGCGTGCAGAGGGGAAAAATGGATATCATAGGATTCTTATAACAGAGGATTTCTATAATATCTATAATTTCTAATATAGAATCATTTCTTGGTATACGTACTTACAGTTAGTACTGCCGGAGAATCGTGGAACGTTGCTTGGGATGCAAATGTGGACATGATTTCGGGAGTCGCTGAAAGAAGGATTTTATGAGTGATAAGTGACAATTCTATGAATTAAATATATGATAAAATTATATATTTTTTTGTAATAATTTATGGAGAGAAAATTATTTTTTTGAATATTACTCATATTACAATAAATCATTTGAGATGATAAAATATTCCTATAAATTATAATAACTTTTTGTTATATATGTATATGTATGCATACTTTGCAATTGTGTTCAAAAAATGTCATCCTAAAACTTGTTAAAAAGAAAATTATAAAATTTTTATATATTAATTTAATATAATATTAATTAAATTGCATTTTCATATATTAATTAAAATTGAGAATAAATGTGATGGCTTTATAATTATATCAGTACATTTATGTATTTCAACACGAACAAATTAATAACAATAATTTAAACATTGCACATTTATAGTAAAATAAAATAATTGAATTTAATGGATAAATATACTCTCGTTTGTAAATGTTTAACTAAAATAAATTTAAAAATGAAGTAAAACTAAAGAAATAAATAAATATCATTGCACAATCAGTCAATATTTTTATCTTATTGTCATTATCGTTCTAACAAATCACATATACGTCGTGTTTTCCACACATGTGACTATTTGAAAGCTCGTAATCTTTGATAAATAACCTGTGGAAGAGTTCTCTAACTAGTATCTTGTGTGACCTTTCGTGGCACTTGAGTGCCACCAATTTGATGCTATCTCTTCGACACTTTGGAATGTTTGCTTCTAAGTTTCTTATTAGAATAAAGTCATAGGAAAGTAATTACGTCAATGACCTAAATATTTGCTATCTCAACATATTTCCTACATATAACACTGACAATGATCTTGCATTGTTTGAGATAAAATTTTATCACATTTCTCTATCTGGTCTTGATTGAAATATGTTTATCACACAATGATCAAATATTTAAAAATGTCCAAGTATACTCAGTTCTTTGTCTTTTGATATTTTTAAATATATTTACTTTTTCTACATCTCTTTCATTCCATTATTTGTCGCATGTAATATTTCTACAGCAACTCTTTCTACACATACAGTCTTTATAATATTTTTAATTTATTAAAAACGATACGATATATTAATCAATTTGAGATCCTTTCTCTATAATGTAGTAATAAATACACTGCATGTTTAATAAGTAGTTGAATTGGGGAATGGAGAATGCGAAGAATGCTACGTGTGGAATTTTTCAATATATTCTATTTGATATGAATATCACGTTGAATGTCGAATATCTGTTAATGCGGATTGTATTTATAGAATGTCCCCAAATATTCAAATTTATACATGCACAACAAAATTTTAAATCGTATATACAAAAAATATAGTTATCGACCTCTGATAACTTTATAATCTACAAAATCGTAATCGAAGTATCAATTTTATCGACATAAGGTAATGTAATCTTAGTTGAGAATCTCAAAATCAATTTTTCAATTTTAATCCTTCTCTATGATTACGATACGATTATTCAAAAGCTTCAAGATATGATTAATTAAAATTGAAAATCGATTTTGTAGAAATACCTGCAGCATCTCGTAGAATCCGAACACAGCTTGTCCCCAGATCTTTAGGGAATATCTGTCGCAACAAGTGACACCCCTGCTTCTCCCTCCCCGACACTCGCGCGACTTCCGTTGCACCACGTGTTCCGAGAGCGCCGTGACGTGGCGCCGCCTGGCGGCGTCTCGCCTAGCGATTTTCCAGCTGAATGTGACCGACCTTGAAAGCTCGTCCGCGCGGTTCGAACGACACGGTGATAGGAAGGGAGAAGGAAGAGAAAGAGAGAGAGAGCGAGACAAGGCCTCGGCCATGTTACACGTTGCCAGTCGTCCGCGTCCGCCTTATCCTCGACCAGTGACGTAACTGCTGAACCGGCACCTCGCGTTCCAATATTTTTCCCTTCATCGAAGACTCCTTATTAACTGTAAGTCAGATTTTTCACACTCCTACAAGATTAATCCTACATATTCTGCATATAAAATTGTTTTCTATATTTGAACGCGAATGTTTCAAAATGGAGGGGATGATGGTCCCTTATTGTTAATGATTTTTCCTCCATTTTCCGCCATATAAATCTGCTCATCTTCGTTCATAATCCTATATATTGTATATATACAATTATTTTCTATATTCGAATGCGAATGTTCAAAATGGGGGATGATGCTCCGTTATTGTTAATGATTTTTCCGTATAAATCTAAACCTGCTCATCTTCGTTTTGATGATGATAAGTATGAGCAACGCATGTCCGTGTAATTTGTGATGAGAAAAACAAACGTCATCCTAGAGAAATCTCGGGGGTTCCGCGACTACCTGCGCCCGCCGACGAAACTGGATTTCCTTTCGCGGCCGAGAGGGGGCGCGCAGAGCATTGTGCGTGGGACATCCCCGCGCGCGGGTCCGCTGCCGAGGCAGCCGAGGTGCCTCCTTCGCACCCGAGGGTTCCCGTTATTGATTCGTCCGACGTAGGTTCATCCGCAAATATTTCCGCGTTTCGACCTGCGCGCGCGACTCCTCTGCACATCTTGTCAAATTTTAGGATTCGCGCGCAACTCGGACTCGCGGATCGGCACACGTGTACGTTTGACGGAATTCAAGGAGAGAGCGAGAATAAAATGATTTTTTTTTTTATTTTTTCTTTAATCTAAGGAAACATTTCGAGACAGAATTGTCTTAGAATTTATCCTGAAAATCATGGTAATCATAGGACAATATATGATGTTGGAAGATATTTTATATAAGTTTCTCTGATTAGTCAAATTAATCGAACATATTTTTTTATCTTATTGTCGTAGATATTAATAGTTTTTATTGTGGTAAATATTTCTTTAATCAGAGAAACTCATAAAATTTTTACAATACTACAATATTGTCCTATGATTTTCAGGATAAATTATAAGAAAGATTCTTATAATTAAAATACATAAATAAATTATAAGAGAAAATTCTCTCTGTGTAGTCTTACTTACAAATGCGCTTTTGAATTATAATTAATTAAGAAAAAAGATAATTTCCGAGAATTTTGAGAATGAGATAAGATAAACATTTTCAGTCAATTTGATTTTTTACACGCAGAATTTTGAGATTTAGAGTCTTTCTGCTCGATTCTATATTTCTTTTCCTATCGACATTGCGCTCTATAAATAACCGGTCGGCGATAACACAGCGATTAATGCACTCGCGACATTGTATCGTGCAGTCTTTTTTCGGCGATACCTCTGTTGAGTTGTTCTCGACTTAAGCTTCCTCGCTTTGTGCGTTTGCGCGGATTCCTTGAAATATTTGCTCAATAAGTACCTTTGGATAAGTTTCTTTCGAAAGCGATGAGTCAAATAAATCCGACAGTTTATGACTTTCACTGCACAAGTATCTGAATTCCGAAATACCTGGATAAGATGATAATCGATAACAGTAATCGTGATAAAGTATATGTGATAAAGCAACTTGTCTCGCGGTGAAAATAAAAGCTTTACATTCGTACTATATCACACACAGAGAGAATTTTCTCTTAGAACTTGTCCCAGAAATCATAGTAATCGTAAGACAATATGGTATTGGAAGAATTTTATAAAAATTTTTCTGATTAATATTCACCACAATAAAAAATATTCGTATGTGCATATTGTAGTAGAATTAATCGAATATATTTTATCTTATTATAGTACGTATTAATATTTTTTATTGTGGTAGAAATATTAATTAAATGTATTGGAAGAATTTTATAAGAGTTTTTCTGTGATTAATATTTTTACCACAATAAAAAATATTAATAAAAACATAGTAAAATTAATCGAACATATTTTTATGTTTTATTGTGATAGATATATTAATATTTTTATGATAAAAAAAGATATTAATCAGAGAAACTCTTATAAAATTTTTTCATTAATATTTTTCTTCCATTATATTCCATTAATATTTTTATGATAAAAAAAGATATTATTAAAGAAACTCTTATAAAATTCTTGCATTAATATTTTTCTTCCATTATATTCCATTAATATTTTTATGATACAAAAAGATATTAATCAAAGAAACTCTTATAAAATTCTTCCAATATATTGTATATGTATGTTCTTCCACGATTACTATGATTTTCAGGGTGAATTTTAAGAGAAAATTACAGGAATCGTAATAAGTTGATATCGGTTTCCTAAGAAGGAAAATTTTAACTTCGAATTGTTCATCTGGATTTTTCGCACAGATCAAAACAAGCGAAGAATTTTACGTTTAAATTTCTGATTTATCTCGCTAATTTATTGATCCTTTTGGAAGAACGTTTAGATTTTCCCTGTAAGATATTTAAGGCCTATAAAAGCTTTAATAAAGACAGGATAGCTCGACCGTGGCCGATAAGTTTTGATAGACGCATTTGTGTGCGTGTTGTATGCGTGATTCGAGCGTGTAGATTCGTCTGGTGATGAATAATTTCGCGCGAATTCTCGCGTCAGTCAAGGACACGGAGATCCGAATTAAGGCGAGATGACACACGGGCTGACTATCGATCGGGAAGTCTAAGCATTACGAACCGTGCAATTAAAAAGGACACTGCAACCCCTTCTTTCCTCGAATTTCCGC